CTTTCTTGCAGTATTGATCTCTTTATCATTATGTATGCCCTTATTTATCTCAGATAAATTTTCTTATTTTGAAGTCTGTTCCGTCTGAAATAATATAACTTCCGCTTTTTTTTTTTGTTTAGTGTTGGCAGGGAATATTTTTCTCCACCCTTTTACTTTTAAATATAAGTATATTTAAAGTGGGTTTCTTGTAGGTAAAGTCTGATTTTTTTTAATCCATTTTGACAAATCAATCTTTTAATTGGTATATTTAGACCATTGGCATCAAAGTGATTATTTATATAGTTAGAGTTATATCTGTCATATTTATTACTGTTTTCTATTTGTTGCTTTGCTCTTCCTACTTTTATCTGCCTTCTGTGATTTTAATTGAGCAATTTATATTATTTTCTCTTTTTTTAGTATATCAGTTATATATATATTTTAAAAACTTTGTTAGTGGTTGCCCTAGAGTGCAGTATACATTTACAACTAATACATATTCAAATACATTGTTGCTATTGTTATTTTGAACAAATTATTTGTTAGATCAGTTAGGAATAAGAAAAAAGTTTTTATTTTACTTACTCCTTATTTGATGGTCTTTCTTTCTTTATGTAGACCTGAATTTCTCTCGCAAGAACTCCTTTTAACATTTCTTACAAGGCAGGTTGACTGGCAACAAATTTCCTTAATTTTTGTCTAAGAAAATAATTCTCCACTTTTGAAGCATAATTTCACAAGATATAGAATTCTAAGTTGGTTTTCTTTTTTTCCTCAACACTAAATATTTTACTTCACTCTCTTTTTGCTTGCATGGTTTCTGAGGAGAAGTTGTTTGTAATTCCTACCTTTATTTCTTTATAGGTAAAGTGTTTCCCCCACCTCTGGCTTCTTTTAGGACTTTTAAAAATTATTTATTTTTCCATAGTTTGAAGTGATATGCCTTGGTTTGGGAGCATTTATCCTGCTTACTGTTCTGAACTTCCTGGATATGTGGTTTAGTTTCTGACATTAACTTATTATTGTTTCAAATATTTCTTCTGTTCCTTTCTCTCTTTTCCTTCTGGCATTCCTGAAATGTGTATGTTATACCTTCTGGGGTTTTCCCACAGTGCTTGGGTATTCTGTTCTAATTTTTTTTTTCAGTCTTTGTTCTCTTTTCTTTTTAGTTTTTTAAAGTTTCCGTTATGATATCTTCAAACTCAGCAGTTCTTTGTTCAGTCTACTGATAATGCCATCAAATGCATTCTTCATTTCTGTTACAGTATTTTTGATATCTTTAGCATTTAGTTTTGGTGCTTTTGTGGGATTTCCAACTCTGCTAACATTGCCCATCTGTTGTTGTTGTATACTGTCCACTTTATCCATTAGAACCCTTAACATGTTCATCATAGTTGTTTCATATTCCTCTTTTGATAAAATTCCAACATCTCTGCGATGTCAGGTTCTGATGCTAGCTCTCTGTCTTTTTAGGTTGTGCTATTTGCCATTTGATATGCACAGTAAGTTTTTCTTGATAGCCAACATGATGTACAGTGTAAAAGGAATTGTTGTAAGTAAATAGGCTGTTAATAATATGGTGGTAAGGTATGGGGTAAGAGGAAATGTTCTATAGCCCTATGATTAGGTCTCAGTCTTTTCAGGAGCCTATGCTCCTGGACTATGAACTTCACAAGTATTTCTCAGTTTTTTTTCTCCCCCATTGTATGGGTCAGGATGGCTAGAATGGGTTGGGGTTGGATATTTTCTTTACCCCAGATCATTTAGGCTCTGACAATACCCGAGTAATTTAGGCTCTGCTTAATTAGTTTTCTTGAGACCAGGACATAGTGCTTTGGTGTCTTTCAAAATGATACCTTTTCCCCCTCCCCCTGCCGAAAGTACAAGGAGATTTTTCTCTAACATTTACTGTGGATCCTTGTCAAGTTCCTGATGATAAATCTCACAATATTGTGAGAGGGCCCCATGACTGGGTCCCTCTAGAATTTTTAAATATCAAAGTTGTATGCACTGAGCTTCCAGCAATTAGTCAATTACAGTTCAGGTTTTCCTACCCTTGCACTAGATCCCACAGCAGTTATAGCTGATAAGTCTCTGTTCAGGTAAGCGGTGACTCCCAGTATTCACCTGTATCTTCAGTCTTGGGGACAGTGGTACAGTGGGGCCTTGACTTACGAGTTTAATTCGTTCTGAGACCAAGCTCCTTAAGGAGCTTGGTCTCAGAACGAATTAAACTCGTAAGTCAAGGCCTCACTGTATATCCCCGGTCCACCCCTCTCTGACAGATCCAAAAAGTGTTACTCATTATTCAGTCTTTTCAGCTCTTGTTGTTAGGATGGAGTGGTGACTTATAAGCTCCTTACATGCGGCTTTTCCTTTTAATTTATTTTTTAAATTACTTTATTGATTTTTAGAGAGAGAGAGACGTAAGAGCAATACATCAATATCTCGAATGCACCAGACGGTGGATGAAACCTGCAACCTAGGTATGTGCCCTGACCAGGAATCAAACCCTCAAAGTTTTGGTGTACGGGATGATGCACCAACCAACTGAGCCACCCAGCCAAGGCTGTATGAGTTCTTTATACTGTATTTTAGATAATAGCCCCTTGGAAGTATTGTTTACAAATATCTTCTGCCCTATAGAGATCCCTGGAAACCTCTGTGGTGTAGGTAACAGAAAATAAAAACTTGGGCTTCACCACCACCTACTGGAAAACAAAAGAAAGACCTCTAATTATCAACCAGCTAAACAGTGAGAGTCAAATACTTAAAATATTTCGTGACCTGGCTTGGTGGCTCAGTTGGTTGGAGTGTTATCCTTTACATCAAAATTTTGAGGGTTTGATTTCCAGTCAGGGAACATACCTAGGTTGCAGGTTTGATCCCCGGTCAGGGTGTGTACTGGAGGCAACCAGTCGATGTTTCTCTCACATCAATATTTCTCCCCCCACTTCCTCTCCCACTCCCTCCTTCCTCTCTCTCTAAAAATCAATAAAATATATCCTTGGGTGAGGAGATATATATATATTTCATTTCCACAAATATCCAGACAGAGATTAATCCATCAATCCAAGGTAAGAAGGGAGTTCAGAAAGAAAAGGAAAAATCTCAAGAAGGTTGATGTCCTCTTTACGACCCGATCTCCTCAGTCTCAGAGTACCACCTCCGTGGTGGGAAATGGCAGGCTATGGGTTACCCGATCAGTGTGTTCCCTGTGCTGCCTTCCTGTAGCCAGAAGCACCTGCAGAGCCACTCCGTCTGAGTTGACCCAGTGCCTCTACCATGCTCTACCTCAGTGGGTTAGGGAAGGTATGTGTGGTGGGGGAGGTTTTGCATATCTGCAGTTACATTCTTTCTAGTGGGTTTAGCTGCAATGAGAACAGACTACTTAATGCTGGAAAGTTTTTTCTGCCTTTTTACAGTCTTTCAAGTGAGGATTTTACTGCCAGGGAGCCACAGGAGAATATGATGGATAATTCCCAGGACTGCAGATTTCTTTGACCAGTAAGGATAGGTGGTAGAATGCTGCCACCCTTTGCAGTACTTCTCTGCCCTTGACCCTGGGCTCAGCCTCAATGTGTGCCAACTGCCCAGGCCTGATTGCTGCCTCTGCCCCTCTGGTTTACCCAGTGGGGGTTGCACCTCTAGTGTTCACTGCTATTGCATCTTCTGGGGCAGCAGAGAACTCTGGAATGCATCTATGGCTCTTGTCTCTGTCCTTTCCCCATCCTGTTGCCCTGTTCATTCCCACCTTCAGATGTCTTAATGCACATATCTCTCAAACGTGTTTGTGTGTTGAGCAGAAAATCTTTTACTGAATTATAGCTATCCAACTTCAAGGGTAAAGACCTGAAGGTCTTCTCGTGCTGCCATGCTGCTGACATCTCAGAATCTCTGTTTTTGTGTTTTTGCTAATTCATTGGGATATTTTCCACATAATATCATGTGTTCTGCAAATAGAGCTATTTTGCTTTCAATTTGGATGCCTTTAATTTCCTTCTTGCCTAATTGTTCTAGCCAGAACTTCTAGTACAGTGTTGAATAGAAATGGTGAGAGTAGAACTGGTTGTTTTTTAAAATAAGGTCTTCTCGTGCTGCCATGCTGCTGACATCTCAGAATCTCTGTTTTTGTGTTTTTGCTAATTCATTAGGATATTTTCCACATAATATCATGTGTTCTGCAAATAGAGCTATTTTGCTTTCAATTTGGATGCCTTTAATTTCCTTCTTGCCTAATTGTTCTAGCCAGAACTTCTAGTACAGTGTTGAATAGAAATGGTGAGAGTAGACCTAGTTGTTTTTCTCCAGATTTTATGTGGAAAGCTTTCAGTCTTTCACCACTGAAGTGTATTAGCTGTGGTGCTCTTTTATCATGCCAAGGAAGGTCCCTTCTATTCCTCGATTGTTGGGTTTTTTATCATGAAAGAGTGTTGGATTTTGTCACTGTTTTTTTTCTGCATCAATCAAGATGAACATGTCACGTTTTGCTTTTATTGTTAATGTGATGTATTACATTATTTGACTTTTCTTCATACGTTGAACCACCCAAATATTCCTGTGATAAGCCCCACTTTGTCCTGGTGTGTAGTTCTCTTAACAAAGATTCAGTTTGCAGGTATTTTGTTGATGATTTTTGCATTTATATTCATAAGGGGTACTGGTCTGTAGCTTTTCTGTGATGCCTTTAGCTTTGGTATGAAGATACATGCTGGCTTTATAGATTGAATTGTGTTTCTTCCTCTTCTGTATTTTGGATCGGTTTGGAAAACATTGGTGCCAGTTCTTAAATACTTGATAGAATTCATCAGTGAAGTATTCTAGGCATGGACTCCCTTTAGTTTGGAGATTCTCGATTTGTGAATTTTTCAGCATTCCTGCTTTCATTTTCTTGTTGGCCATGTTGAATTTCTTTTCTAAACTGTGCGTTCAACTCCTGGATATCAAAACCAGATAAGGACACTACAGTAAAGCTACAGGCCAATATTCCTGATGAGTATGGATATAAAATTTCTCAATAAAATACTAACAAACCAAATTCAACAGCACATTAAAAGGATCATACATTATGATCAAGTAGGATTCATCCCTGGATGCAAAGATGGTTCAACATATGCAAATCAGTAAATGTGATACATCACATTAATAGAATGTGAAATAAAAATTAAAGTCATCTCAATAGAAAAAGCATTTAACAAAAAAAATTCTGTCATGATAAAAATTCTCAACAAATTAGGTGTAGAAGGAATATGCTTCAATATAATAAAGGCCATCTATATATGCAAGCTAGCATCATACTCAATGGTGAAAGGTGGAAAGCTTTTCCTGTAAAATTAGGAAGAAGATGGATGTGCACTCTCACCATTCCTATTCAACATAGTACTAGAAATCCTAGCAGAGGAGTCAGGCAAGAAAAACATAAAACATATCCAAATCCAAAAGAAATAAGCAAAATTGTCTGTTTGCAGGTGGCATAATCTTATATATTGAAAGCCCTAAAGATCCCACCAAAAAAAAACTGTTAGAATAGCTACCCAGCTGCCATGAAAGGGAATTTGGCTTACTTTATTGCATTAGTTAGTTATTGCTGTGTAACAAATAACCCCAAAACTTTGTGACTTGAAACAATAAACATTTAATATTTTTACCATTTCTTCGAGTCAAAATTTGAAAGCAGCTTAGCAGTGTGATTCTGGCTTAGGATCTCCTAGGAAGTTGCTCCCAGACTGTCAGCCAGGGTGCAGTCAGTCCTATGAAGGCTTGATTGGGACTGAAGGATTCACTTTTAAAATGACTCCCTTATAAGGCTTTGAGTAAATGCCTCACTTCTTTGCCAAGTGGACCTCTTTAAAGAGCATCTTGAGAGTCCTTTATGACATGGTAACTACTGTAGCTTCCTCCAATGCTGATGACCCATGATAGGAAAGTCACAATGCCTTTTATGACATAGTCACACATTGTCATTTCTGCCAGGCTTTGTGGTGGAAGTTGCTAAGCGCAAGGAAAGGGAAATCCGGCTCCACCTGTTGAAGGGAGGAGAATCAAACTGAATATCACTAACAGACCAAGTTAGGGTAAGCAGTGGAAGAGACTCAAGAATACCTCTAGACAGTGGCTTTCTAGATTGCTTCGTTAAATTGTTAATGATGTTATTGTTAAGACTTGAGCTGTTATTGAGAGCCTTGGCCGGCCCTCACAGCCCCTCGGAGCCTCGGCAGGTCCTCGTAGCCCCTCACAGCCTCGGCTGGCCCTCGCAGCCCCTGCTTCGTCTGGAAGGTCATCCAGACAGTCGTCCAGAAGGTCGTTCTGCTGTTCGGTCTAATTCGCATATTAGTTCTTTATTATATAGGATATTCTTACACATAACATTGTCCCCACCCCCCCTCCCCCCTACTACTTAGGGCATCTTAAAATTCATGTACTGGAAGGAAAACAAATGATAAAAATCCAACCAAAATGTATGAATAATCCTTAATTTTTTGCTGAAGCTTTGTTTTGGAGATGGTTGTTTGAAATAAAGCAGTCATTAATCAGATGCTGGGGAATAGAAAGAAGGCTAAGTGAATTAGTCAAAGTATGAGTTATATAATGTCTTTAGAACATCCAATTTGGGGTTAACTTTTATTTTTTTATATAATTTTAAACAGAGAAGAGTTAAAATAATAGTATAAGGTACTTTTATATATATTTTATCCAGATTCACTAGAATTTTTTTTTTATGACATTTGCCTTATCATCCTTCTGTTCTAAATAAAACCACCAGTGATGTGTGATAGGTTTTTTTTTGTTTTGTTTTGTTTTTCTCTCATTGCAATGAAAGAGATTGCAGACCAGAAGAACCACAGGGCTTCTAACCAAAGGGTATGTAAATGGTTGAGCACAGTACTGGAATTAGAATGTGACTATAGCAGTCATATGCTTGCAGTTCTATATAGAATGCCTACAAATATAACAGCCACAAATATAGCCGGATGAAGAATTGTTTTTCAGGCTACTTAAATATGAATAGCATTGCTATTGATGATGTGATTTTTTTTTCCTAAACAATAAACAAATCTTGGTAAAGTTATGAACAAAAATAACATACAAGTTTCCTTGACTTTACATAGGAGTAGTAGTTTGGAAATATTCATTTTGTCCTAAAATAGCAAGAAAAAAAAAGATTTAATTTATAAATAATGGAAAGACTCATTTTGTCCTAAAGTAGCAGGGGGAAAAAAGTCTATATGTAAAATGGTTCAGGTTCTGGGTTAATGTAATTATAGATAGGTTTGAGGGTTTTTTGGTTTGTTTCTTTGTTTTGTTTTGTTTTAACCTACCTGAATCCTGAATATCCATCTGGAAATTCAAAAGTTTAGACCAGGATTTTTTCAGTCATTATGCCGTGGCACACTGGTATGCCGAAGAATTTTTAAAATGTGCAATACCTGACTATTTTGTCAGGGTCACTGACCTCTTCTCCCTTAGATTGTCAAATGAAAAAATGACAAGGACCAAGACAACAATAGCTGTTGGTGTGAATGAATCAAAATTATATCTGTGTTTTGTCATATTGGCAAAAAATATTATGTTTTTTTTGTGTGCTGAAGACTTTAGTAAAAAAAAACTTGAAAATCGCTGGCCTAGAATGTTCTTTGTTGTGTAGGACTGTTGGGTGCATTGCAGGATGTCTTGAAATCCTGGCCCCTATCCTCTAAATACAAGTAGTTATCTTAATCTTTTGATAACAACAAAACATTCCCTCCAACTTTAACAATGTCCACCACCTTTTGTCCAGAACTATCAGTCTTAGTTGTATAAAAGGTGAGGAAGTCATGTATTAGAGTATGAAATAATATGCAACTTATTTGTAATTATGCACTGACTAAATTTAAAATGGATAATTTGAAACTTTTAAAATTAAGCTGGCTGTATTATATGTTCTTATTTTTCCTAGTAAAATGAATGAAAATAAACCAAGTGACTCACGGACTCTCGGTAAGTAACAGTATTTCAAATATTTTCAAATATAATTTAAAATATTTTACTCATGCTTTTTTATAATAAATCTCTTCAAAATGCTACTCAAACTATAGAAATGAATTCCCCGATTCATGCTTGCTTCATATATTCATGTATTAAAGTATAACATTGTGTGTGTATTAATTTCAACAAAAATCTGCTATAGGAAGAAAATTTGCTATATTTTATTTGTATTCTCTATATGTATTTATCAGGCATTGTTTATATCTTAATAAAATTATTTATTTAATAAATAAATTTTTTCACATTCCTTTACAAAAGGAAAAATGTAGGTGAGAACGATTTAAACAAAACATGAAAGTTTAACATGAAAAGCAAAAGTTAACTTTGAATGGTCACAACAGTCTCCTCAAATAGATACAGACCTTTGCTTTTAGTTGTTTTTTCTTCATTTATATATTGAACTTAAACAGTATTTATTGACTTGTTACCATGGAAAATGAAAAATTTAAACTGTTACTTTATTTATTTAAATATATTTTGTTGATTTTTTACAGAGAGGAAGGGAGAGGGAGAGGGATAGAGAATTAGAAACATCAATGAGAGAGAAACATCGATTCAGCTGCCTCCTGCACACTCCCTATCTGGGATGTGCCCACAACCAAGGTACATGCCCTTGACTGGAATTGAACCTGGGACCCTTCAGTCTACAGGCCAACGCTCTATCCACTGAGCCAAACCAGTTAGGGCTAAACTGTTACTTTATACTCTTCTGCTACCACTCCTCCTCTCATCTATCCTTTTATAGATTTATTTTGTTTTAAATATATTTTTATTGATTTCAGAGAGGAAGGGAGAAGGAGAGAGAGACAGAAACATCAATGATGAGAGAGAATTATTGATCATCTGCCTCCTGCATGACCCCTACTGGGGATCAAGCCCACAACCTGGGCTTGTGCCTGACCTGGAATCAAACTGTGATCTGGTTCATAGGTCAGCACTCAACCACTGAACCACACCGGCCAGGCTATAGACTTATTTTTTTTATTCCCTTTCAATTTAACATATTACACTTAGAACTCTATGGCTTGCCTATCCTTTGTAGAGAGTATCTGTGGATTCCACATCACGTTGGATAAGGAAATTTGTGTTCTTAAACTTCCCTCTGCTTTCCTGATTTTACTTACAGACTTCTATCAACTATGCTAATAGTTCTGAAACTTAGTAATTCGTAGAGTACCTTCATATATTTGCCAGATGTAAATACTACCTATTCTGTTATTACTTAATCTTTTTGCTAGGATTGACTCAATTTTATATATGTACTAGAGGCCCGGTGCACAAAAATTTGTGCACGGTGGGGGGGTCCCCCAGCCCGGCCTGTGCCCTCTCGCAGTCTGGGACCCCTTGGGAGATAACGACCTGGTGGCTTAGGCCTGCTCCCGGGTGGCAGAGGGCATGCCCAATCCCTAGGTGCAGCCCTGGTCAGGC